CCCCCCCCCCCCTCTTTTTTATTAAGAAATTTTTTTTAGACTGTAATTATTTGTTGCAGTATTTGTAAGTGACCCTCCATTGAAAAAGGGGTATATTCGAATTAAACAGTACCCTTATCTGGTAATAATGTGGAAGATTTTTATCTTTTTTTCTATTTTACAAGTATTTAATCTTGAAATTTTCTCCATTGTTTCTGCAGCAGAAGCATCCCTTGAAAATATGAAATTAATTCAGTTCAAAACATGGATATTTCATTGGTTTGATATTGTGAATCCCACATTCCGTTCCATAGGTATACTTGAACTTACAAGCACAGTCCCTTGAACGAACATATTTTAGGTCGTGAAACCCATAAGATCGCCGTGATCTTCGTGGCTGAAGGTCAGGAGGATAAGATCAGTATCCTCAGCAACACCGGGGGGTCCGAGGCCTTTGAGGAGTTCGTGGCAGGCCTAGGCTGGGAGGTCGAGCTAGAGACTCATACTGGATTCATTGGAGGACTTACCAGGTAGTATCATTATTATCTTCGTTTTTATTGTTATTTGATTGTTTCTGTTTTTGTTAGTTCGATTTTTCGTTGTTATTTTTATTGGTAATGTTTGTTACGCTTTCTTTTTTTGATATTGTTATTGTATTTGTTTTTGTATCTCATTTTTGTGTTATTAATACGTTTATTGTTATTGTTATTGTTATTGTTATGGTCATTGTCATTGTCATTGTCATTGTTTTTGTTAATGATATTGATATTGATATTGATATTGATATTGATATTGATATTGATATTGATATTGTTATTGTTATTGTTATTGTTATTGTTATTGTTATTATATTGTTATAATTTTTTATCATTATTTAAGAAATAAAAGTACGGGGGAAACCGCTCCTTATTATGCTACCAGTTTTCTAGAGATTATGTTCCATGTTTCAACGAGGTAAACATTTTTAGTGTTTAAAAGACATTGTTGGAAAAATAAAATGGCAAAAATTAAGTTTGTCCCCCGGTTAGATGAGAACGCAGAGCTGACTTAAACATAGAGGTTTTTTCGAACATTGAGATTTTTTCGATTCTAAGCTTAGGAAGAATATTGAAACAGTTCGATTTAAACTCTTTATGAATTCGACATGAACAATCAAAAACTCGATTTGAAATCAATATTCAGTACACGTAGATACGTTATAAACTCGTTAAATTATAAGAAAGTTCGTTAATAACTCTAACGTAGGTCCGTTATGAACTCGTTACATTATAAAAAAGGTTCGTTATTAACTCTAACGTAGGTCTGTTATAAACTCGTTAAATTACAAAAAATGTTAGTTATTGACTCTAATTAGAATGCCAATTCTCGGTTCACGTAGACACGTTATAAACTCGTTAAATTATAAAAAAAGTTCGTTATTAACTCTAACGTAGGTCTGTTATAACTCTATGTTTATGTTTAAGATTTGATTATTTTCGTGATATTTATAAGGGTGCATATATCATATTAATATGCAGAAAACAGTATATTCAATATTTACGAATATCTAGTGCATCAAGGATAAAAATAAATTTATTTCTCTACATTATGTTTTTTATTTGGCCTTTCTGTTTTATTTTTATGTAATCTTTTTTGGCTCTTTTTGTCCCAACAAAAGAATCTAGAACAGATTAGAAGTTTTTACTTATTTATCATATCTGGATTTAAACGATTTAAACATTGGTGCAGTTTTTATATAAAAGGGTAAAGCATTCCATGGAGAAACAATTTTTTGGCTAAAAATAATTTACGAACATTAGTTCTACAAAAGTTAGCACGAAGTGAAAGAGGATTTTCTTGTAATCCTATTGGATGTATCAGCTAACATATTTATCAACATTATTAACACCATGAATAATTTTATAGGTTTCAATTGTATCATAGCGGAGTCTTTGACTTAAATTCAGTTCTTTATGTTTTTTTACTGTACGATGAACCAGTGAGTCTTGAAACCATTGAGACCGCCCTTTTTAAATTTTTTTTTGATAGTTTCTTTATCTCCTACACTCCAAGGACACCAAGCTGGGACGGAAAACTCTAGTTGTCCGTCTCACATAATGTTCATAAAGATTGATAGATGTAACATTGTCTCTGTAGTGAAATGTTTTAGAAATAAGAGACAATTTAGAGGACAGTTTGCTTTTTTGGCTGATTGGTTGCAATGCACTGAAGGTTTTAAGTTTTCATGCATAGTAACTCCAATATCCTTTGCCTCTGTGACAAGGTTTAATTGTTTATGGTGTATGTATAACCAGCGTTTTTTTTTCAGTGTGCATAACTTTGCATTTATCAACATTGAACATCAGCCCAATCACAAAGTTCATTAGAACAGTTTTGTAATATATTTTTGTCTCTTTCGTTTAACATTTTTCTGGCAAGTTTTGTAGTCAGCAAACATTTTTTAGCACAAACATTTGCGCACAAAGAAAGTCAATTTCATTAATATAGATGATAAAAAGGATCGGAACTAGCATCGATCCCTGGAGAACTCCACTTAAGACATGTTTCTTTCCTGATTATTGGCCATTCAAAACTACTCTTTGACCCCTGTTTATAAGCCATGCATCAATCCATCTCAAAATATCACCATTTAAACTATGAGCTTTAAGTTTTTCAAGCATTCTGTTCTTAGGCACATAGTCAAAAGCCTTGGAGGAATCTAAGACTATAATGTCCATAGAATGACCTTCATCCTGCAGGCTGGTTATGACCTCCAAAAACTCCAATAAGTTAGTAAGGCAGGACTTCTGCTTCATAAAACCATGTTGACTAGGGTTAATATGATTATTTTTCTGTAAATGGTCGACAATTTTATCACGTTAAAGAGACTCAATGGTTTTACAGACAAGGGAAGTTAAAGAAATTGGACTATAGTTTTCAGGTTTACATTTAACACCTTTCTTAAAAATTGGAATCACATTGGCTAGTCTGAACCACTAGATCCCATATAGACCAGGGAAAGTGGCGGAGCTCAACCCTATCTTCACTGTATTTCAGCCTACAGGTCGTCATACGTTGTCTGTAGGTTGATTGTTAATAATAATAATAATAATAGTCTCCAGTCCTCAGGGACATAGCCTTCACTCAAGGATTTATTGAAAACTATGGCTAGAGGTTTACAAATAATGTTGTTTAACTCCTTGAGTATTGATGAAGTGATACCATCTATTCCATGGTTTCATCTTGTAAATCTTCTCAATAATATCAGACTCATCGAAAAAAGTAGTTATCAGAGATTTTTCACTTGGCAGCCTCGACAGGGTTGGGATTGGACCGCCCCCCTCTGCTGAAAAAAAAAAACACTGCTGAAGTATATATTTTAGAGTTCAGACATTCTTTATCTACATCTTGCTTCAGAAGTGGACGAACATAGATATACTTTTGGTCGTTAAAAATTAATTTAAGGTTCGTTATAAACTCGTCAAAATTATAAAATAGGTTCGTTATTAACACGTTAAACTAATTATAAGTTCATTATCAAGTGTATATTTTTAGGATGAACTCGTCCAGTGAGGATTGTATGCTGCAAAAAACTCGTCATCTCGGAAATGATGAAATTCACATTGTTTGGTCAGAACACTGGAGGGATTACAGGTAACAGGCATAGATCTAGTGGGAGGGATTAATTTATCATCATTGGATCATAGGATTAATGGATTAATTATTTAATTGATTAATTAGAGATTGATAGATTAATGAATGAAAGAATGCATGAATTAATGCATTTTTTGATAGATAACTTAAATCTTGGATTCATGGATGGATTGATAAATTCATCAAACAGATGTCAACTTCTACGTAATGATCCTTCATTTGAAAATTTATATGTCTGATTCACAACGGTACCTGTACCCTAGGGTGACACACGAATGGGGTTAAAAGCATAATTGGGATGGATAAGTTCGCTGGGTGATGTGGCTCAATATAAGCATTTTTGTGAAAATTTTAGGTTCATCCATTGCTCAGGTGGAAGTCTTGATATTTGGTGAAGGTCAATGGCCCCTGATCCCAAATTTGTGATCCGGGTATCGATCCACAATGCGAGGCTGCATGCAAAATTTCAGCCTTTTATCGCAATTTTTCGAACTAAATGCAGCCTGTACTAATTTTGGTGTCACAAAGCGTCGAATCGCCCCCCCCGCTCCAGATTTTTTCCAGAAACTACTTCCAATTTAAGCATTTTTGTGAAAATTTTAGGTTCATCGGAGCATTGCATCAGGTGGAAGTCGTTTTCGGTAACAAACATGCAAGATATTACCTTGCTGCTCTTCTATCTAAAAAAGGGAAACCCGAGCTGGGAACTTTTGAATGGTGGATATCGGGATTGATGCTTAATTCATTTTTTTTCTTAATCTCCATATTAAATAATGCTTGCTCTTTTTTATTAATCTCCAGATTAATTAACCGATCCCATTCTAAAGTGTTCAGCTCTGATTAGTTTCTGTCGCTAATTTTTAATGTGACTTGCGGTTTTTTTGCTGCAGAACAACTCTTCCAATATAGGAAGACGACATATTGTATCTTATTCTTCTTCATGTTACTCAGATAACGGTTTAAAGGGTTCTGTTGAGAATGGGTTATGCTACTCTTGAATTGGAGAGTTACTTGAACTAACGTCGACAGTACCTTTCAATTATCTATAGAGAGATGCTGTCAGGAGGTACAATTGATAGTTAACCCGATAGATAGGATCTTAATTGGCAAACATCGAAAAAAGTTTTGTTTTTAAACCCTACATTTCAACTGACAGCTAATGAGATATAATAAAATAAGCTAAATTTAAGAAATTCCACGGGCAACGCCTGGCACTTCAGCTAAAATCATAATTAAATACCAAGCGCGGGTAAACGACGCACGGGAGTAACCTCCGCACTTCTAGTTAAATATATCGGCAAAATCTCATGTAGCATTATTTTTAGGCGGGGTATAATACCAACAGAATTCTGTGATGTCCTGATTGTTATTTATCCTCTGAAAAACAAACTTTATCGAATACAGGTCAGTACTGAACACAGATTTATTAAAATGATGGTTGTTATTTTAAAAATTTTCTGTTTGAAAAGAGGAAACAATTTTGAAGCCCCCCCCCACCAACATTGGGTAAAATAAATGATTTTAGTGGAAAATAATACATTTTTGGTTAAAAGTAACACAAAGGATCAAAAACTTGTCTATTACTGTACGGTTTTCCATTTTTCCGTTCAGATCATCAAAAATCTTCTCATTTAGACCAAAATACACGTCAAAAATGCTTGTTTTAAAGAAAAGTACATTTTTTGGAGGTTTTTTAACCTAACTCAGTCAATTTTTGAAATTTTTCAAAAATTTCAATGGATTTAATCTTTTTAGACAATTACGAAGAAAATGACATTCGACATGATAAATTCAAGAAATATTTTTTTTGAGCTATGTAGACTTTTTTGCGATCTGCACGGGCCTTGCACGACCACTTCCCATTGGTTGAAGAATAAAATATCCTGTGAAAACAATATTATTTGTGAGCCAATATTTCTATATTTTGTTGCAAAATGGGGAACCCTAATCTTTATTTTGACCCGTCGGGAATCTGTTATATATCAATTTATCAAGTTTTAGAAACAACATAATTTTTCAAGAACACACCTTTTGACTATTTTTATACCTGACAGTTTTGTCAAAAGTCAAAAGTCCTTTTTTATTTTAGGTAATACGTAAGTCTGAAGTTCCATTCTTTGGACCTTTGTACAATGAGATGATTGTGGACCACGGGGTCCTTCCGGGACTTATTCGGGCCACAGCTGTTAACGCGAGCAGGTAAAGAGGACATAAACTATTGATAAAAAAGGATTTCATTTACTAGCTTGAAAGTAGTTTTTATAACCTACAACTAGCTAGAAAGTAGTTTTTATAACCTACAACTAGTTAGAAATTAGTTTTTATAACCTACAACTAGCTAGAAAGTAGTTAATATAACCTACAACTAGCTAGAAAGTAGCAGTGTAACCTACAACTAGCTAGAAAGTAGTTTTGTAACCTACAGCTAGCAATAAAATAGCTTTGTAATCTACATTTAGCTAAAAAGTAGCTTTGTAACTTACATCTAGCTAGACAGTTGCTTCGTAACCTAGAGCTAGCTAGAAAGTACCTTTGTAACCTATAGCTTGCTAGAAATTAGCTTTGTAACCTACATACAGCAAATAAAATAGCTTTGTAATCTACATTTAGCTAGAAAGTAGCTTTGTACAGCTAGCAAGAAAGTAGCTTCTCAACCTTCAGATAGCTAGAAAGTAACTTTGTAACCAACAGCAGCTAGAAAGTAGCTTTGTAACCAATAACAGCTAGAAAGTAGCTTTGTAACCTACATCCAGCAATAAAATAACTTTGTAAACTACATTTAGCTAGAAAGTAGCTTTGTACAGCTAGCAAGACAGTAGCTTCTTAACCTTCAGCTAGCTAGAAAGTAGCTTTGTAGCCTACAATTAGCTAGAAAGTAGCTGTGTAACCTACAATTATCTAGAAAGTAGCTTTGTAACCTACAACTATCTAGCTAGAAAGTAGCTTTGTAACCAACAGCTGGCTAGAAAGTAGTTGTGTAAGCTACAGCTAGCAATGAAATTACTAGTTAGAAAGTAGCTTTGTAACCTTCAACTAGCAATGAAACTACTCACTAGAAAGCAAGTTTATGGACCTCCTCTGAGAAATCATATATTTATGTGAATTATAAAGTAGCAATAATTCCTTAATTATAATTTGTTTATTAACCTTATCATGAACTAAATAGGAAATAAAGAATAAAGCCCCCCNCCGCCCTATTATTCCAATATACGAATATAACAGGGAATTTATCAATATTTGCACAAATAGTTAAGTATTTAATTATATAGTTTCATGTTAATTATAGTTAATCTGACTAAAGAAAGGAATCTTCCTGAAACTTAAGAAGGACGGGCAAGAAAGTCTTACAGAGTACCATGGACGATTCACAGCAATGTCCTTTAAACTCTAACTCTGAAGCTATTCATGCAAATATTCTGTATCAAGTTCAATTTAATATTTATATTAATCTTATTCAGAGCCAAGCGTGCCATGATGACAGCTTACAAAACCTACTTCGAAGACCGAGCCAAGGCCTTGGACTCGATCATCGACAAGTTCAAGCAGCCCACCACCTTCGAGGAGTTCGTGGCCAACGTATTCAACCCTGCCCAGACGGGAACAATAATACAAGGGAATATGAGACCCGGAGGAATGTCGTCTTCCACCATCAGTTCAAATACAAATAGGTAAATATGTTTAGCAATGAGTAAAAAGACTGATATGATGAGGTTTCCAGGGCCCAGGATCTACAGTCAAGGAATTTAGATGGTCTATGGCCCAAGGAGTTTAGTTGTTCTAGGGCCCTGATGCAAAGAGCTCAAACCGCCATATTTGAGCTGCAAGGAGGTAGTACATTTGCACACAGGTGTCGATACACAACTGAAAATATTGGCAAAACTGTTGCAAAAATGTTGCAAAACTATTGGCAGAAGGAAGACCAATATTCCCTATTCATCATTCAACAAAAAGACAGAAGGGGAGGTGGCATTATAAGGACAGGGAGAGAAGGTAGGGGTGGCATTATAAGGACAGGGAGGGGAGGTAGAGGTGACATTATAAGGACAGGGAGAGAAGGCAGGGGTAACATTATAAGGACAGGAAGATGAGGAAGGGGTGGCATTATAAGGACAGGGAGAGGAGGAAGGGGTGGCATTATAAGGACAGGGAGAGGAGGGAGGGGTGGCATTATAAGGACAGGGAGAGGAGGTAGGGGTGGCATTATAAGGACAGGGAGGGGAGGTAGAGGTGACATTATATGGACAGGGAGAGGAGGAAGGGGTGGCATTATAAGGACAGGGAGAGAAGGTAGGGGTGGCATTATAAGGACAGGGAGGGGAGGTAGAGGTGACATTATAAGGACAGGGAGAGAAGGTAGGGGTGGCATTATAAGGACAGGGAGAGAAGGCAGGCATTATAAGGACAGGGAGAGGAGGTAGGGGTGGCATTATAAGGACAGGGAGAGGAGCTAGGGGTGGCATTATAAGGACAGGGAGAGGAGGTAGGGGTGGCATTATAAGGACAGGGTGAGGAGGTAGGGGTGGCATTATTAAGGACATGGAGAGGAGGAGGGGTGGCATTATAAGGACAGGGAGAGGATGTAGGGGTGGCATTATAAGGACAGGGCGAGGAGGTAGGGGTGGCAATATAAGGACAGGGAGAGGAGCGGGGTGGCATTATAAGGACAGGGAGAGAAGGTAGGGGTGGCATTATAATGACAGGGAGAGGAGCTAGGGGTGGCATTATAAGGACAGGGAGAGGGTGTATTTTATGACAGAGGGTGGGAGGAAGGTGGCAATACATTGACAGGGAAAGGGAGGGAGGTGGCATTATAGGGTGAGCTGGGTGGTATGGGATAGGATGGGGGGCGGTATCTGAAATGTAGACAGGAAGGAAGGGACTGAGGGGTCATGGGGTCTCTGGACAATATTGATTAATTCATAAATTTAATGGTTTTAGAAGTGATCTTAGCGCTGTTCTTCTTGATCCAATGAGCACGCACACTGGTTGGAGTGAGGAGCAGCAGAGACCACGAGCGCACACTGAGCTTGGAGAGCGCACTAGAAGCACACTTGGCGAGGATAGAAAGATTCTCCATGAAGGTATCATAAATGTTAATTACTTATTAAAAAGTTTGTTTATTCGAGTGCAACTATTACCTTGAGTCTCGTGTATCCAATAACTTTTTATGGAAGCTCTTTATAAAGAAATATTATTTACTCTCATCAAAATTATAATCAATAAAAAAAATTCTGAGAGTAAGAGTCACACCTAAATCCTAAATTCTAGTTTGTTCTTGGCAGTCTGCATTAGCTTTTCTTCACATTTCTTCACATGGATGGCTTTTTTACCATAACACTCCTACCAAAACAGCTGTTTACTGTTTGTAAACTGTTTCACTGTTTTTTCTGTTTCCACTGTTTGTATTGTTTGTACATTTTGTCTTTTATCTCTTGTAAGTTCAAGCAATCTTGAAGTAATGCAGTATTGTTAACTTTTATGCCAGATATTTGGCAGTTGGGTTCGAGAGAGTACAAACAGTAGAAACAGTACTAACGGTACGAACAGTACAAACAGTACAAACAGTACTAACAGTACTAACAGTAAAAACAGTATAAACAGTGCAAACAGTAACAAATGCACAAAAGTACAAAAATTACAAACAATACAAGCAGTGCAAGCAGTTTAAACAGTTCAAAAATTACGCACAGTACAAAAAATACAAACAGTAGAAGAAATAAATATCGGTGCGGTTTTGCGCTATGAGTTATTGAACAACAAATTCAATTACATAATATAACAATACGCCTTTGCTCTAATGTTGCCTATTCCAAGCATTTAAATTTTTAATTTTATCAAATATTTGATTTATAATTTAGAGCATGTTCCACTACGAAAAAAGCTGAGTAGCGGGGTCCCCCCTGGCAGTCATTCTAACCCTGGCGTTGGATTCTCCCAGGTTCCCCTGTCTGATGAAGAGGATATGTTCAACCCACCGTCGGGCTCAGCTAGAAAGTTCTCGACCAAGTCCCCCGTTCAAGCCATGAGGTAAAAATATTTATTGTACCTTCAAGAATTGATCATTTGAATTTTAATTGAACCTTCTTTTTATGGGTATCATTGCAAATTAAACTAAACATTTAAAATGGAGGGTCACTTGACATTTCGATTATACTTCCTTTAACATAAAAAATTGTTCTGAGCTGGGAACTTTTGAATGATGGATATCGGGATTAATGCTTGATCCACTCTTTTTCTTACTCTCGAGATTAAATAATGCTTGTTCTCTTCTTATTTTTAAGCTCCAGATTAATTAACCGATCGGGATTAAGGATATCCCAATCTAAAGTTTTCAGCTCTGAAAACTTAGTTGAAAGATATACATTTTTCAATAAATATTTATTTTAGTGCTGTGCGGCGACCAATGGCTGTTCGACAAAACTCCGGTGGGACCAGTGGAGCCCCCGTCACTAGAAAACGATAATTTCTTGTGTGTTTAACTGTTTACTGACGCGGCATTTGTCTGAGTGAAAATCCGCAAAACTTGTTATAAAAACAAATCCGGGAAAATGAGTTGCAAGAATCCGTGGGAATTACAAGTCAAGTTTCTGCGTAAATGCATAAATGCTTAAATTAAATCATGTCAATTAGGACTGGACCTTTATTTTACATTCCAAATTTGCTCATTTCAAGAAATTTCTATTTACAATTTTACCAGAAATATGCAGCTATGTTTAAATATATATTTAGCTATATGAACACTGTAATTTACAATCCTTAAAAAGTTGATTAATTAATTGGACTGACATTATTATTATTTTCCATTTTAGTATTATACACTACACAAAAAGTATTTAATACTTAATTATTAATTCTTTATATTTATGCATATATATATGCGTAGAATTTTTTTTTTTTTATTTATGGATATTTATTATTTTATAAAATATATCTTTCTATTGTTAAATTCTTAATATATAGATGATTATATATTTTCCATTTAAAGATCAGTTTGCAATATATAATAAAAATTTAAACAATTTTAGTTTTTTGTTTGAAAGTTGGAGAAAAAATGCAAGGTACACGTTTTTATACAGATTATTGTTTTAACCCTTTTCCGGATTCGCTTTTTTGTCTAATTTAGATTGGGAGGATAGGGGGGTGGAATTTCTTCAAATATTTTGTACATAAATCATTACATTTTTATATGAATAATTTTCTCTCTTTTCGTTTTTATCATCAACAATTTTTATAATCTTAGAAAAGCTGTTTTAAGACATACGTCATATAAACATCAGTTGTACTACTCGAACCCATCAATGCAGAACAGTACAAGTGTGCAAAAACTTTTAGTTACCGGCCTGCATATCCTTTAATACCAATACCATTATCTGAATCTTAAATTTGGTCTTATGAATACACAAAATATGCAAATTGTAGGGCTAGCTGTAATAATAATAGTAAAAATGATGAAAAAAATGTATTTAAAATTACATCAATAATAAGAAAGTTAAATAGTTAAATCCTATTATTGTAAAGGAAAAAAAGATTATTGCAATTGTAGCAATTTGTTAAAGGAAATTAGAAACAGGTAGTGAGGGGGGGACTGTTCCATTATTAATATAAATTTTTTGTTGAAACAATTTATAATGTACAGGGTGTCCCAAAAAACATGGGAATTCAGTGACGAATTCGATATCGTCTTTGTTATGAATTAGCATTGTAATACCTAATTTCAAAAGCCATAATATTATTATGTCTGCTAGAGTTTATTTAATGAAAAGGGTAAAAGACTGTAAAGATGTGTCTATAATGTCTCCGCAAGATGAACAGTGAATACGGACAAGTTTACTCTGTTTGCATAATGTAATTTTCTTGTTTTACTAAGTACAACCGTATGCAGTCAAAATATAAACAAACAAAATGTAAACATAGCAGACGAAACTCTTACAGATTACAGCTTTCTCAGTAGGTATCACTATACTAAATCAAAGAATTATTTGAAAAGACGATATCGAATTCGTCACTGAATTCCCATGTTTTTTGGGACACCCTGTATAATGGGTTAAACAATTCAACTTAACTGTTAACAAAATATTCAAAATCAAGCAGTTAACAATGATTGAATCTTCGAATAAAATTTAATGAATTTTATAATTTGAACAAAGAGAAAGTATAAACAGACTGATTCAACCTTGCAATATTTGGACGAAATTATGAATTCATGGTTTTCTGTTATAAAAAATCCGCTGAAGAATTGTCAAGACGACATTTCACAAATTGCTTCAAGACCTCAAAATCTTCGAGGTAAAACTATATGTTTATTGGACCAGAGCTGGGAACTTTAGAATGGGATAACATTAATCCCGACTGCTTAATCCGAATATCCAATATGGACACTTTTGATATCTAGCTTAATTCACTCTTTTTTGGATGTAGTAGAAAAAAATCAAAAACCGGTTTTTTAAAATTGCGAGTCCTTCCCGTTTCTGTAAATTTTTAATTTATCGGCTTCTTATACGCGACTCTGATTGGTTGAATTTTATACACTTTTCAGGATTAGGTACAAGATTAGGTTATTAAGAAAAAGAGAGGATAACGCCTTAATCTCGATATCCACCATTCTAAAGTTCCCAGCTCAGGTCATAATGTTTGTTTACATTTACCCTGGCTGACGGAATTTTCTGTGAGAGACGAAGAAGGAAAATTTCAAAATATGTCACTTGAAATGTACTTTTTACTTCGATAAAGGCCGGTTATTTACCAAATATTTGGATATCAATTTAAAATTTATAAATATCTTGCTGGACAACAATTTCGACAACTTTGGTAGAAATCTGATTGAAATTCTATAAATATCAGAAAATGTCAAATTCGCTAAAAGTATGCAGATCTCATTTTGGAAATGGCAGTACTGGGGAAGTGTTGTAATTATGTGTCAAACAATTATGCATGTAAAAGTAGGGTGAGGCATACTGTCACAAAACTTACAAGGTCATTGATACAAATATATGTATCCCATTCTGAGCAACATTATTAACATTGCTTATCCAAACTCTTTACTAGTGTAAATATATTTGTGATCGCCCTAGGGAGAGAAAGTGATGAATTGCATAGTTTTAACAAAAATATAAAACTTTTTTAGTACAGGGTGTCCCAATAAACATGGGAATTCAGGGACGAATTCTATATCGTCTTTTTAAATAATTCTTTGATTTCGTATAGTTATACCTACCGAGAAAGCTGTAATCTGTAGGGGTGTCGTCTGCTATATGTTAACATTTTGTTTGTTTATGTTTTGACTGCGTAAGGGTGTACTCAGTAAAACAAGAAAATTGCAGTATACAAACAGAGTAAACTTGTCCGTTTTAACTGTTCATCTTGCAGAGACATTATAGACACATCTTTACAGTCTTTTACCCTTTTCAAAAAATAAACTCTAGCAGACATAATAATATTATGGCTTTTGAAATTAGGTATTACATTGCTAATTCATAACAAAGACGACATCCAATTCGTCACTGAACTCCCATGTTTATTGGGACACCCTGTATTTAGACATATTTCAATAACACAATTGAATATACTTATTAATTAATATTGAAAAGTTTAATCGGTTAATAAGGTTGCTTAAAGAATGGGATGAAACTACATATTTTTTTTAAGTGAGATTTTCCTTCGGGAGAACAGCACTTCACCGGAAATAGACTTTGTCTCGTGTTTCTCAACTTTTTTGATGATGTTTTATCAAAAAAGTACCGGAAACCCTTGGAAACGTAAATTCAACCAGTAAAGTTGACAATTTTCTCTGGTAAGTCCTCGCTAATAGTAAATTATCATTTAATTAGTCTTTTGTGTATTTTTTCTATGAACTTCCTGGAATCGAATTTATAATAAGATTTGTACAAGTTGCAACGTTGCATGGGATCGATAAAATAAATTAAATAAGATTGCAAGATGCAATTTAGATGTTATAAAGTTCATAAGCAGAAGAAACAGCCTTATTGAATTTATATCGGTTCATTGACATTTAGGTAAAGCTTGGGAGGTTTCGAATTCAAGCTGAATATATATATATACATGTCTACAAAGGATTGGACTTAATCCTATAAAGTCCGGGACGTCTAAATCTAAATTAAGAAAAAGAAACGGTACACCCCCACCCCTTAAAAGGCCTTTGAGTATAGTTATGGGTTGGGATACATGTAACTAGCTCAATTTTTTTCAAAAATTCAGAAAAATTAGGAAAATTTTAAATTTTGTTGTTGAGTTAACAAGACATGTAATTCTAATATTTTTTTCAAAGGCTTTTTACAAATGAAGTGTCAGATCTATAATAGCTCAATAACAAAAAAAACAGTATTTAGTTTTTTTACGACCACCTTACTCTACGAATTCAAAAAATTCTAAAGAGTAAAGAAGTTTCAAAGTGGTAATGTCAAAAAAGAGAGGGCTAACTGCTTGTGAAGAAAACAGGGTATGGGTGTCAACCCCCCTCCCCCCCTGTTAAGGGTTTAAGGAATATTAAGAATTTCATCCTTTAAAATTTAGCTTTTCTTTAAATAACTGGTGGTGGATTGTTAGTATTTTTCGACAAATAAAAACAAAAATCATGATTATATTTTCATGTTGCAAAAAAATAAAATAGGCTTTAAGGGTTGGGGGAAAAAAATAAAGGTTCTATTACAAAACGGGCACTTTTAAGCATATTTTTAATTCAACCCGATTTTTGACATTTGAAAAATGTCATCAAAAGATAAAACAAAACAGAAATATGTCTATCATAAATCAAATTCAACCCCTTACATTTTTTACAGGGTTTCTCAATAAACATGGAAATAAAGTGATGATTTTTATGTCGTCTTTGTTTTACGCGGCATTATTTCGTAAAAACAGTTTTAGCACAGGTTTACATGAAAAGGATGAGACAAAGGGGGGGGGGAGTGCAGAAGTCCTCAATGGGTAATCACCGCCACCCAAACATGTTTTGCGGCATGCACACTCCTCAATTGGTAATCTCCACCACCTCAATTGGTTATCAGACAGATCACAGAATAAGCTATTAAAAGACTTTATTCAAGGCAAAAGACTTAACTTTACCCTGGGGTCGTCATGACTCATGATCATATCATATCAGAGTTTCAATTCGTCTTTACAGTTTCTTTCTTTGAGGGTAACCCTGCATAAAATGTATTTCAATAAGGAATAAAATGTCGTCTTTTCACTATTGCTTGGCTCCTTACAACGTGACTCAAAAATATATTTCTTTAAAGGCCTGATTTTCAAGAAATACGTTTCAATCTAAGACATCGGAAATTTGTAACCATGGGCTTTAAAAATGTGATATCCTATTTTAAGCCAAGAAAATATTGATAAAAACCCCTGTCATTTTCTTCGTAATGTCGAAATACCGGTGTTGGGACATTTTATAGAGAGGCCATTTCTTAGATAGGATATTTCATAGATAGGAATTTCATAGATATGACATTTCATAGATAGGCCATTTCTTAGATAGGAATTTCATAGATATGACATTTCATAGATAGGTCATTTCTTAGATAGGTATTTCATAGATAGATATTTCATAGATAGGATATTTCATAGATAGATATTTCATATATTGGACATTTCATAGATAGATATTTCATAGATAGGACATTTCATAAATAGGAAATTCATAAATAGGAATTTCATAGATAGGACATTTCATAGATAGGTATTTCATAGATAGATATTTCATAGATAGGATATTTCATAGATAGATATTTCATAGATTGGACATTTCATAGATAGGTATTTCATAGATAGGACATTTCATAGAAAGGACATTTCATAGACAGAGCTAATTTTTTATACGTAGACAGATAATTTCATGGACAAAGATGAATTTACACTGACATTTCATAGACAGGGTATTTCATAAACAGGACACTTCATAGAAGACATTTCTTAGGAAAATTATTTGCTCCTTCTAATCTTTCTAATAAATTCTACACTGTTCTTTCCACGATCCCTTTCATTAAACCAACCCCTTAAATTGTTCTCTGGGAAAATTACCTATCTGTTTAAATTCTTCTTTGTCTATAAAAAATTTGCTCTGTCTATGAAATGTCCTGTCTATAAAAAGTCCTGTTTATGAAAAATCCTGTCAATGCAATGTCCCATCTATGGTTTGTATTATCTATGAAATGTCCATCAATGAACTGTCCATCTATAAATGTTCATCCATAAAATGTCTTTCTATCAAATATTCCAACACCGAAATGCCAAAAACGTTTAAGAATTAGAAACAAATTTTCTTAGAAATGTATGATGTATCAAGATTATTACATCTCAAGGATTTCGACAAAAATATTCTTATTTTCAAAATGCTTTTGGCAGCCGGCAAGTTCGATATTACTGTCGAGATGTTAAACCTTCTTTCCACCCTTAAACTTACTTTCCATCCTCCCCCTGCCTATCCTTCTATATTCCCCTCCACCCTAACACCTTCTCCCTTCCCTCTACCCTTCATTCTATCCTTCTCCATTACCCCCCCCCTGCCTACCCTTGAGCCCCCAGTTTATTACCAGCGCGTAGGTCTAATCTGAATGACGATTTAACATTTAAAATGTTTATTATTCGCATTCTTTGTGACCATTGTTAAGCCAAGTGAGTCAGCTATAAGATTTGTACAATTGAAAAATTGAGATTTTTTATCCTATAATGAGGGTAAAGGGACTGTTCACCCACCCCGCTTAAATTTAAAGCACTCAACTTTCCAGATTAAGTTTTTTTCGTTTTTTTCATTTTATCGTAGATTTTTTAAATTATGGAACGATGCTTAAGTAAGTATCTGTAGTGTTATAGATACACTTTATGTCAGTAGCTAGTATACCATAGCTAAATTGCCATTTTCATATTGAGCTGAAACCTTCCGGTATGGTAAAGACGACATAAGCCATCTATCATATTTTATCTGGGGTTAAATTGCTTAAATCTGGAGATAATTAAGTCAATGTAATTTTTTATCTAGGGTTAAATTACTTACACCTGGAGATAATTAAGTTAATATAATATTTTATCTAGGGTTAAATTGCTTAAACCTGGAGATAATAAAGTCAATATCATATTTTATATCAGTATTCTGCCGACACTGGGAGGGACAACAACGTCTATGAAATGTGATCCACAAAACTTTCACGATGGCAGGGATAAATACTTTCCCTGTTATCCTACAGTTATATAATAAGTGCAGAGGAGCTGGGATATGGGCCAAGATGGTTCTGGAAGCTGAGAATGGGAAGGAGACTATAACCTTCTCATCAGTAACCAAGCCTGTAGCTGCAGCGTCCTTAACCCCTGCACCAGGAAGGAGAAAGAAACCTTCTAAGGTGAAAAAGGACAGGAAGAGGAAGGAGGCCTGGTTGGAGAAGAGAAGTCAGGGGAAGGAAAAACCTTCTCAGACAGGAGAAATATCTACCCCTGAAGAGGCCTGGTTGGAGAAGAGAAGTCAGGGGAAGGAAAAACCTTCTCAGACAGGAGAAATATCTACCCCTGAAGAGGCCTGGTTGAAGTCTACAGCTGAATTAGAATCCTACACCCAGCCGGGCTTTGTCAGGTCAGATCAACAGGTTAAACCAGTTCAACCGAATACAAACTTTACTGATCCCTGCAGTACAGAAACCTTATGCAGTACACTTTGTAGTACGGAGAAGGAAAAAAATACTAGAGCTGAGGAAGCAGCTCAAAATTCAGGAGATATAATCAGGACCCCAGGGGGAACTTCCTTAGCAGTGCTACAACCTGTACCTGCTGTAAAGGGGGGAAGTGTAAGTAGCGAACACACTTCTCTTGTCCCTGGGACACAACTTGGCGATACCACGGACTTTGACATGGATACACACATGATAAGAATTGAGAAGGAGGACAGGAATAGTTTATGTGCTAAATGTGATGGACGGCCAGCTTGGTCTCCAATCTACAGATCTGAGACTATCTGCAATACAGAATGTGCTTGGGTTGCACTAGAAACAAACATTAAGTCAAGTACAAGATGGGTTGAACCAATCCACATGAAAGAATGCAAATCCAACCCGCATAAAAAGATTAATAAGCATCTCGTGAACTTTTCAGTTTGTTTAAAATGTGAAAACCTGTTTGATTATGAATGCAACCCTGCCTGTCCACAAGCTAAATCTAAACACCCCTGTGTACAATAATGTTCTAAACTAAGAAAATTAAAAATGATATTCACTTGACTAGTAATTATAATCTATGTATATCAAACATTTACGTTTGATAAATCTATAATATGTATGTATCATTAATAAACATTTAGATCTTAAAAAATATTTTATATCTAGGGTTAAATTACTTAAATCTGGAGATAATTAAGTCAATATAATATTTTATCTAGGGTTAAATTGCTTAAACCTGGAGATAATAAAGTCAATATCATATTTTATCTAGGGTTAAATTGATTAAATCTGGAGATAATTATTAATTAAGTCAATATCATATCTTATCTAGGGTTAAATTACTTAAATCTGGAGATAATTAAGTCAATATCATATTTTATCTAGGGTTAAATTGCTTATACCTGGAGATAATTAAGTCAATATCATATCTTATCTAGGGTTAAATTGCTTATACCTGGAGATAATTAAGTCAATATCATATCTTATCTAGGGTTAAATTGCTTAAATCTGGAGATAATTAAGTCAATATCATATTTTAGCTAGGGTTAAATTGCTTAAATCTGGAGATAATTAAGTCAATATAATATTTTATCTAGGGTTAAATTGCTTAAACCTGGAGATAATTAAGTTAATTGAAATCAGTGCATCGGAACACACCGAGCGCTGTTCTCCATGTTCCAGGACAATTTTAGGACAAAAAATAGAATTTTTCTATCATAAAAATGTATCATTAATTATAGGCGTTTCTAAAGAAATAGTTTCTGTCAATCGGAAATACGCAAATATCACAATTCTCGGAAACTCTTTAATTTAATTAAGTAATTTTAAAGTTTAAATCGAGAACAGTCCTTTACTGTTTAGAGCATCCCCGATACAACATGCAATGCAATGGTCGCAACTAGGCATGTTTGAAATTGTATCTTATCTGTACCTTGATTCGTCATGATTTTATTATTGCTTTCATTACATGCTCAAGATTGTCGTAAAATTGTTTAATTGCAAGTAAAATCTAAGATTCTATTCTCTAAACAGATAAAATCGAACATAACAAAATGGTTTAATTAACGACTACACAAGTGAAGAAATGCACAGTAGTTAATGAATGCATACAAATGTATTCGCATAGAGTGATGATTTTTTTTGGGTCTTGATTTGCCTGTATTTTCTTTAAAAGTCATAATTTGACACAGTGTAAGTAAATGTTTTTCAAATTGATTATTCTTAAAGGGACTGTAAAGGAAAAATGAAAGGGGGTATAGGCTGAAAGCTAATCACTTTAGCTCTCGATCGCGACCCATGAAAGTTATATCTGATGTTCCTATCTCGAGAAATTGATATACAACTTTGTCAAATTTATACGAAAATTAATATATATACAATTTTGTATTAAAGTAGTGGGTTTAGATTGATCAAATTCAACAAGTAAGCAACCAATCTGAAAACGATGATATCCCAGAGAAAGCTAATTGTGACTTACGTTTACTCCAACTCTAATTTTATATTTGTTATTTCTATTTTTAATAGATTTAATTCATAATATTATTTAAGTCCGTATTACATGACCAGAAATTCCACCATTGGCAGTGCAGTAAAGTGGTCACATGATACAGGCGGAGACACGTGACCAGTATACTGCTCTGCCATTGGTGATAGTTCTGGTCACGTGATTTAAGTTTCAGATTTTCAAAATTTTACATATATGAATTTTCGTATAATTTTAGCACAGTTTTATATCAATTTCTCGAGACAGGAACATAAGATAAAACTTTCATGGGTCGCGATCAAGAGCTAAAGTGATTAGCTTTCAGCCTATTCCCCCTTCCATTTTTCCTTTACAGTCCCTTTAAAATGTTCGTACACTATGTTAAATTTGACCCTGCCAGAAGATATATACAAAAAGATTACAACACAAAATAATACAGTTTACTAAATATGAATAGATTAGTACACAAAATACAAATAGATTAGTAAACAAATAATACAGTTTACTAAATACGAATAGATTAGTACACAAAATAATACAGTTTACTAAATACGAATAGATTAGTACACAAAATAATACAGTTTACTAAATACTTTTAGATTAATACACAAATAATACAGTTTACTAAATACTTTTAGATTAGTACACAAAATAATACAGTTTACTAAATACGAATAGATTAGTACACAAAATAATACAGTTTACTAAATACTTTTAGATTAATACACAAAATAATACAGTTTACTAAATACGAATAGATCAGTCCACAAAATAATACAGTTCACTGAATACGAATAGATTAGTGCACAAAATAGTACAGCTTACTAAATAAGAATAAATTAATACACAAAATAATACAGTTTACTAAATACAAATAGATTAGTACATAAAAAAATACAGTTTACTGAATACGAATAGATTAGTGCACAAAATAATACAATTTACTAAATACGAATAGATTAGTGCACAAAATAGTACAGCTTACTAAATAAGAATAGATTAATACACAAAATAATACAGTTTACTAAATACAAATAGATTAGTACACAAAATAATACAGTTAACTGAAAACAAATAGATTAGTGCACAAAATAGTACAGTTTACTAAATACGAATAGATTAGTGCACAAAATAGCACAGCTTACTAAATAAGAATAGATTAATACACAAAATAACACAGTTTACTAAATACGAATAGATTAGTACACAAAATAGTACAGCTTACTATATACGAATATATTAGTGCACAAAATAATACAGTTTACTAAATACGAAAAGATTAGTACGCAAAAATAATACAGCTCACGAAATAAAACAAAAAGTAATACGCAAAAGTTTACTAAATGTAACAGTTTATAAAAAATGGCCCAGTTCATAAAATGTAAGAAACAAGAATACGGAAAAGATAAAATTAACAAATTTTAGAAAGGAACTGGAAGACACAAAATTGCAGAACATTTCACTAAACCGAGACATAAAGAAAAACAATTGACTAGTTTATTAGAATAATTTCAAAAACGAAGTCACATGAAGTCATGTTCGCCAATGTGACATGAAGTCATGTAGCATGAAGTCATGTGGCATGAAGCCATGTGGCATGAAGTCATGTGACGTGAAGTCATGTGACTTAAAGTCATGTGACATGAAGTCATGTGACGTGAAGTCATGTGACTTGAAGTCATGTGACGTGAAGTCATGTGACGTGAAGTCATGTGACTTGAAGTCATGTGACATGAAGTCATGTGACATGAAGTCAAGTAGCATATAGTTGAAAATTGCAAAAGCAGTCCCTTAACCTGAAGTAAAACAATCTGAAACCTGAACAAGTCAAATTTTTCAGCAAAATCGATTTTTAAGGGTAGATTCTTTAAATATATCTATAAACCTTGCTTTTCTGTTAGGTGTTTGTTTGTTTGTGTCCAATAAACGTCCAAACGGCTGTACCGATCCGGCCCAAATTTTTTGTGGGACCTCACAAAACCCCACTGAAGTTTTATGGATGATTAAAGTAAACAAATTAGCCTCCAACAAAATCCATAAAAATTGTTTATAAAATCCGCGAAGTTTTTGGATGTACAATGTACATTGTACATAAAGAGAAAATGTTAACTATTGAAATAGAAGATGGGTGCAAAGCGTCCTGAAAGCCTAATTTATTATTTCATTTAAAATTTGTAATCTTTCATTTATTTTATGAAATTTCTCCTTTTTCGACAATATGAAAGTAGGTTTTGCTTTGAATTGAAGACTTTCCGTTAATTATGGATTGTTTCGCAAGTTGGATTATAATTAAAAAGGCATCCGAGATTTGAAAATGGAACATCTCAGCAGTTGCTTATCTTAGAAATGAAGTAAATGATGGCATTAATCATTCTTTAAATATTTAAGAAGTTTTTTTTCTTTTAGAAAGGAAATAAATAATGGCATTATTCCGTCTTGAAATATTTAAGAAGTTTTTTATTTTAGAAAGGAAGTAAATAATGGCATTATTCCGTCTTGAAATATTTAAGAAGTTTTTTATTTTAAAAAGGAAGTAAAAAATGGCATTATTCATTCTTTAAATATTTAAGAAGTTTTTTTAGTTTAGAAAGGAAGCAAATAATGGCATTTTTCCTTCATTAAATATTTAGGAAGTTTTTTATCTTAGAGAGGAAGTAAATAATGGCATTTTCAATCTTTAAATATTTAGAAAGGTTTTTTTTTTCTTTTCGAAAGGAAGTAAATAATGGCATTATTCATTCTTTAAATATTTAGAAAGTTTTTTATTTTAGAAAAGAAGTAAATAATGGCATTATTTCTTCTTCTTGAAATATTTAGGAAGTTTTTTATTTTAGAAAGGAAGTAAATAATGGCATTATTTCTTCTTCTTTAAATATTTAAGAAGTTTTTTTATTTTAGAAAGGGAGTAAATAATGGCATTATTCATTCTTTAAATATTTAAGAAGTTTTTATTTGAGAAAGGAAGTAAATAATGGCATTAATCCGTCTTGAAATATTTAAGAAGTTTTTTATTTTAGAAAGAAAGTAAATAATGGCATTATTCCGTCCTGAAATATTTAGGAAGTTTTTTTATTGACACAGAAAGATTACTTAACACATTGGTCATAACATGTATGCCCAACCGGCAACCGGCAGTGTCGATCAGGTTTAGGCCATAGAACTCGTGGATTGATACCAAACCACTGAGATATAGACTATTCTGATAGCTAGCCATCAACTTCTCAGACAGCCTCGGCTTGAAAGTGATTGGCTGTTGGTTTTACATCACCAATTTTTGCATGCGAGCGTACACATCTTGGTTTGCAGTAATACTCAGAGACGAGATAAAAACAGTCAATATTCAAAATTTTATTATTAATTTGAAGCAACAGAATTTCAAACCATAATTCTTTTAAATATTCCATGCATTATTAATATTCAGAAAACTTGTATTTATCAAAGTAAATTAAAACCTCGAAGGAAGTCTCCCAATAAATTCAAGAGCAAAAGATTTCACTGATTCGTTTTTTAATATAAATATAAATATAAATAAAATAAATAAGTAAATAAAAAGTAATTTAAATATATTTTTAAAGTCTACGAAAACTATAAGAAAATTTCACAATTCAGTTCAACCCTACCTAAAACACAATGTTGAAAAGACTTTAGGTTTGGAACCGTAGTTTGGTTAGCATTTTGTACTGTTAAATATTGTTTTATTAACCTGTAAAATGAGTTATAAAACTATGACGGAGTCAATGAAAATGTTAATACCCAAAGTTTGAAAATTAGCGGGATTCAATGAAAATTGGCGGATACCGAACAAATCATCTTTTTTTAAAAGATTGTGACAACCATTCTTTATAAAAACAATAACTTATAATAACGATGAACTGTCTTTTTTTATTTTAAACAATTTTCTAAAATTCTGTCAATTTTTTCAAATCCAAGTTTTCAATATACTGACGTCACAAGGAAAAACAATAGTTTAAATATGCAATAAAAATTTGCAAAATAATCCAGTTCGCAAAGTATAGAAAAATAGTCAGAAAAATGTGCTGACATTAAAAGTTTTGAAATATGTATGTTTGTTTTGTGCAAGTCAGCAAAATATGGTAAAAAGTTTTTAAAAACATGATAAATTTAGAATCAATAAAACAAGGAATATACGTTACGGAAACGTTTTAAAGTTTTACTATTATTATAACTATAATTTGCATTAAGTTGCGTTTTGCTTAAAACGTGCCAAACATCTTGTTTTTTACGGCACGTGATTTGAGGCGTGTTAAAATTTTTTGTTTATCTGCAACTTGCAAGCTGGGTTCTGAAAAAAAACGTGCCAATTAAATGCTACGAAATGTTTCTGCATAAAGCGTAAAATTTAACTTGGTGAAGAGCACGTTAAATATCCTGACTGTAACGTGCTATATGTCAAGTTTTAACAGTACAATTCATATATACGTTTGTGATCTGATAGTTTCTTTCAGCCTTTAGCAATGCATTATTTTAAATCATCTTTAAAGGTTTTTCCCGTTTTTTCCGTCTGTAGTCTGCATGTATACAATGTAACTTGCTCTAATTGCCTAAAAATCGGTATGGCATTTTAAATGAACCGTATTAGATTATGTAAGACTCAGGGGAACCCATATAAAAAATACTTTAAAATCTCACTCTTACCCTTAACTAAAAAAGTTTCATTTAAAAGCTTTAATCAATACTGCCTTCTGTGTAAATATATCTTTGATATCATTATCTATAATTCACGCACCACCTCTGCCCCTTGAGTAAAAGTAAATTGAACCTATATGAAGCATAAAGTCTGACCGCGTCAACCTTGTTGCACCGGCTTGTCCTGTCCATAGAGCTAGGTACAGTACAAACTGGGACCGGAATGGTTGACCCGACTCGGAAATTCAAATGTACTACGGCTGCCCGTGAATTAAACAATATGTATCTTTCCTATGAAAATGTAGATAATTTTTAAGAAACGTTTCCATCTATATTTTTCACCCAATGAAGATTACACCACAGGATTAAGAGGAAGTGTCTGATGAGAAAATTACATAAATAATTTATTAACACTTGTTATATGGAAGTGTGTAAATGATCGAATAGTTTACATACTTAAAAAATGTATGAATATTTTTTAAAGAAATTGGACTTTTTAAGGGGGGGGGGGGCACAAGTTTTTTTAGACTAGCTTGAGAACACAGCACAGTTCTCAAAATTTTAAACAGTTTACCCGCCTTTGATCGTAAATTATGATTTTAGCTATTTTTCCTCATAAATACCCACTCAACTTAGAATCTCAAAACCAAACTAAGAACTAAGTTCTCCCGAGTTCCCCACTCAAAATTTGAGGAAAATCGGTCACGGAGTTCAGAAGTTATGATCTGACAAACAAACAGACAAGCAGAAATTACAATATTATGTATACATAGATTTCCGCAAGGAGAATTGAATACAAGGAGGGGGCGATAGGGTGTCCGTACACTTTGCTGTGGCGTTTTTGGACTGCTGAAGAACTAGTTTTTGCGTAACAACAATAAAAAGATTGTAAACAATAACACAAATGATAAACAGACATCTGGCATCCCCGTATACTAACTCATGTTTGTGTTAAATTAGATCTGTTGCCTTTGTTATTGTTGTTACGCAAAAACTAGGATCTTCAGCAGTCCAAAAACGTCACAGCAAAGTGTACAGACACCCTATCGCCCCCTCCTTCTATTCAATTTTCCTTGGATTTCTGTAAATTAGTCATGTACTCCAGTTGTACACAACGAACCCTTTAGTCCAAAAACTACAGCAAACTCTAGCCTTCAATAGATCTATGTACACTCTTTTCTCTGGTTCTGGCTAAAAACGATTACACACCTAATAGAACTATCTTGTTCTATACACGTACTAGAACACTAGAACTGGAACTAACTTGTTCTATACATTAATAAAATTATGTAACATCTAATGCATTATTGCTGTGGTTTCTTCTATGTAGACATTTGTTCATGACATTTCTTAAAGGTTGTGTGTTTACTATTCTACTTTGACATTTGTTTTATGAACAAAATTTAATAATAATAATAATTTAATCGAAATTTCAAAAAGATCTCTTCTTATATTTTTCTCTCTCAAATTTAATATTTGATAATATAAGTTTAATTCTATATATTTTACATTATATACTGTATATAAAAACTACTGTTTTGTGTGCTATCTTAATAACATAACAACCCCCCTATGACCCCCACCCCCGATCCAAACCAAAGCCCGGCCCTGCAATGAAAAATGCTGTTCCTACTAAAATCCACAAATTACTTGATATATTGGTTGGAACAGGGGGTACTAACAATTATAGAGGGGGGAGGGGGGCTAGCAGATATATAAATTAAATGGCGCTATCACATGCTTTCATAAAGATTATTAAAAAGGAACTGATATGAAAAATTGCCAAGTTGTTTAAGGAACTATGTTTGTGAATTTTAATGAAGATAAAAATGTTAGTTAATCTATCTATCTATCTAACAAATTAACAGAATATAATTAAGGATTTTAAATATAAGCATAAAGTAACAATTGATGGTATTTGATGTTTTCCATCTTGGTTTTATATCATGAATTACATATGTTCACATTTTCATAAGCTTTAAGAGATCCAGTGGAGCCTCTTATAGGTGCTGAGATCAAAATTTCCAGTGTTTGGGTCAAGCTAGTTGGCTGGCTTTCTAGATCACTAGCTATCTATCTATCTTCCAAACTCCAACTTGAATAGCTCTCTAATGTCCAGACTAGATTTCCACCTAAAAATATTAAAAATTTATAGCTGATGACGGGAATTATTTGGTGTACAGTCCACCACTGTTTTATGCCATTAACTGGGCTTTAACCTCATACAACAGGGCAACATAAAAAGAAGGAGGTATAAGGGGAGGGGAATTTTGCACGATGACTTGGTGGAAAGGTTTAAGAAACGTGACAAAGTTTAGAACTGTTTGACGGCCTATACGTGATTTGATCTATCTATCATCATGCATGTATGTAATATGCATGTTATGTACATTTGTACATTGTACACAACTTACGTTCATTTACATTAAGGAATTGAAGTTATTTTTCATGCACAAGCTCGAATGTTCTTATCCCTATACCTGGTGGTGTAAACCATTAATGTTCTTATCCCTATACCTGGTGGTGTAAACCATTAATTTTTTAAACTTTTAGCTTATTTAATCTTACAAAATTCAGTTTGAAATATCTAAGGTCTATGATATTGGGCCGCAAAGATATTGGGATAAAAAAATCAGAGTTTGTGGCAAAGGCTCAATTCCTTTTAAGTTTAGCAATATCGTTGCATAACAGTTATGTTTTACAAGTCACAAACTGAATAATTTATCTAGAACATAACACAATTATCGCTGTACAATGTACATAACAAAAATTAACGTTGTGAAATTTACATAACACCATTAACGTTGTACAATGTACATAACACAATTAACGTTGTAAATGTACATAACACAATTAATGTTGTACAATGTACATAACAAAATTAACGTTCTACAATGTGCATAACACAATTAACGTTCTACAATATACATAACACAATTAACGGTGTAAAATGCACATAACGCAATTAACGTTCTACAATGTACATAACACAATTAACGTTGCACAATGTACATAACACAATTACAGTTGTACAATGTACATAACACAATTAACGTTGTACAATGTACATTACACAATGAACCTAGAACATTACACAATATACATTCTATGTACAATTTGTGCAATGGAATTCTACACACGTTGGCTTTTACCAATAAAACCAGAAATAATATATCATTAACTCGTGAGAAAAGTTTTTTAAAGTTTAGGCTATCATCAAAATCAAGCCAAAACTCGAGGGAAAAAAAGAATTCATTGCAATGGGGTTTAAGGGGAGGGGCTATTAATGTCCTATCAATTTAATCTGTGGTTTAGTGGATGATTAAAGGACTGTATAAAGAAATGTTGTCCTATCAATGTAATCTGTAGTTGAGTTGATGAATGAAGGACTGTGTAAAGAAATGCAAAGGGTAGATAACTACAAGGACAGAACTAATTGGATCGTCAACAACTACTTCTGGTAATCAATAAAGATCCAACACCAAATATATTTATCAGCTGTCAGGACAAGAGATATTGTGTATTAAATATTAATATGTTGACAGTTGAACAAGAATTATTAATGTTGATGTTGTGTATACATAGTATATACCTGATTTCTCCAGCTGGATTCTACTTTATAAGAGAGTGTATTGTTCATCACAGCCTGGCTCTCCTTTCCGCCAAACACGCTTCGTGGATTTTCCAAAAACCGTGTTCGTAGATTTTCTAATCGGGAGTTTTCAAAAATGGAGTTTCGCGGGCTTTCCCGTGGCAAATATACTGGTCTAAAAGCTCTATGGTGAACATCACCGATTGGTGATAGGTTAGCTAACTGTTTTGGTGACTCTAAATATGACTTGGATGATACTTTTGTTGACTGATCGGCGGCTGCCGGATGGCTGGTATATATTTTGGTGAATTTTGGCGTTAAAGAGCAAGAAGCTCTCGGGCTTGGCGGCGAGTTGTTGTTATTTGATCTGGTTGGTGTCGGGGCGGAGGCAGGAGGCGAAGATTCGGTTTCTTTCCAAAACCTTTCTTGGGAAGAATCTGCAGATAGATCTGTGGAGAAATCTGTGCTTTCAAAACTAGTGTCTCCTTCCTCTGAATATTCACTCCTTGAAAAAAAAAGAATAAAAAATTAATATGCTTTATTTCTGTTTACATTTATACTTCTAAGATCAGATTAAAAGGTATAATTAACTATACCTCTCTAGCTCTATCCTCTTCAGTTTAGCCCTTGTTCTCCTTTTCGTGAAGACCACTGCAGCCAGAATAACGAAGACGACTATGATAACAAGTCCAATTGGAGCACTGGACGCGGCAGCGCGCACAGACGTGACCGCCATCTTTAATCTCTCTCTGGTCGCTGAAAAAAAAAACAATTAAAGTGATAACAAAGATCATTAACGGATCAAAGTCAAACCAAACTTGGATGGTTTAATGACAAAATGTTGAAAGATAAGAATAAGAATTAAGAAGAAAAAGACAAATGAGAAAATAAAATGAAAACTTACGTAGATAAGATCCATCCAGATCTTTAAACTCGCATCGTTGTCCCATAAATCCGTCTGCACATCTAAAATACACACATTTTTATGTCATATCGTTTTTGATTGTTTTGGCTGACAAGTGTGAAGTGAATACTTGTGAGAAGAATATTTAGGATTTCCTTAATTTTGAACCTGCTTGATAGTTGCGTGAATTTATTAATTAACTTGAGTTTATCTTAGAGATATTCTAAAAAAGATTTGTCCAGTTTTGGAAGAATCGTATCATTAAAGTCAGTTCCCACAAATGGTATCAAAACCCATCCCCCCACCACCCTTTTTAATCATGGTACAGATTTTTAAAGGGGCGGGGGGAGGGGGGTTCTAAAATCAGAAGGCGTTACTAATTTTGACTGCTCTAAATTGTTTATCGTGATCCTTTAAACTTCATCATGCAAAACCCAGGAAAAAAGTGTCTGTTTGAAATTGCCAATAAAAAAGATTTTCCTCATTTTTTCTAGGAAAGGTTACAAGACAAAAGCCACCGGAAATCGAAGAATTGATTTTAACAATAATATTTGCTGTTTTGTTTCTGCACTCTTAGTCTTCGACAACTAGAAGAAATAACAATAAAAGAGAAACAAATTAAATTCAAGTTTATGAAATAAATCATTATAAAACATAATGTGCATGAACTGGGCGACAATTAAAAGCCTTATATATTTACATTTGACGGGTTTAAGTGGGTTTAGCACACCGATTAGCATGCAATTATGCTGCAGTAAATAATAAAAAGAAAAAATACACTCGGCGGGTTAAAAATACACTCGGCGGGTTAAAAGGGCTCTTTATAGTTTATTTTCAAAGAAAATGGAGGCGTCTAGAATAATATAAATGAAGAATGGTGAAGGGGGAGAAAGGGAGAGAGAGAGAGGGGGCTGGGGATTAGAAATTGTTAACGTTGACAAGACTTGCTGAGTTGAAGAATAATAAACCACGGTATATAGATGTCAACAGGGTGGTCCGGGGTGTCGATACATTTTCAATTTAGTAGAGATTTTTTTTACATTTTTAAAATCTTCTTAATATTCTATGGAGACTTAAAAAATTTAAAATCTGAAAAACTAAATTATAAATCTTCAGAAATAAAACACCCCACATGGGCTTCACCCCTTTCAAATCCGCTAAAGAATTTTATAATTCAATAAAATTGGGAATTTAAGAATTGAAGATGGGGGTTGGTGGGTCGGGTGACTAATTTATTGTGAAACAAAATGTTTATCTTTCGAAGGGATTGAGATATGACAGTGTTAAGAATTTAATACGCTCATCCGAATTATAGTTCCTGAATACCATCTATAAATAGAAAAGACATGTTGGGTGGCATGATCTATTGTTATTAATATTTGAATAGTACCGCGGCGCCCATCAAAACCATTTTAAAAATTTTTTTAATTGTTTGATCAATAATAACATTCTCCAGATAAATAATTGTAAGCTGGAGATTAACTAACTTTAAGCTTCAAAACTGGTACATTTTCTCATTTCTGCATAATTAAGACTAAAAAATCAAAATGGCCGAAAAAATATTTCGATACCAGTCTTAGTTAGACCTATAGAATCTTTATCTAGCAGTTTCATCAATCAGGATTATGTGGCGTAACCAATAATACTTCAAAACAAAATAAACAACTATATAAACCTTATATTTCTCTTATATAGTCAGACATTTATTGTAGTTAAGAGAAAGGGTCTACNCCCCTAGCCTAGCGAGGGCGTTACCCAGGCTAGATAATCTAGGAGGGGGGCTCTATGTCACGTTACCTTACTAATCTGGACGATTTTACTCACACATATACACACAATCTCAAACAAGGGGGGGGGGGGTTGGATGGAGGAAAAGAGTGAATGAGAAAGATAAGGACTGGGTGAGTTAGTGAGTTAAGTTAAGATGCGAATTTTAGTACACAAGCTACGTTTTTCAGGTCAAGAGCTAGTTTTTTGGACACATAGCTAGTAATTTTGGACACACACCATCTAGTATTTTAGGAAATAAGCTAGTATGTTATGACGCATGCTAGTATGTTGATACAGAAGCTAGTATGGCAGGGCATGACACAAGCTAATATGTAAGGACACAGGATAGTAAGTTAGGACACAATTAAGCTAGTATGTCAGGACACAAGTTTGCATGTTAGGACACAAGCTAGTATGTTAGGACATAAGCTAGTATGTTAGGACATAAGCTAGTATGTTAGGACACAAGCAAAATGTAAAAGAATATGGTTTTGTATTTTCCCCACACACACACAGTTATGGTTAACAAGAACAAAACCACTTGAAAATATTGAAAATATTTGAAAATGTTTGTGGTGTATGGATATATTACAGGGTGCAAGGAAAACATGGCCGGGGGGGGGGGCAGGGGTTAAAGTTAAATTGTACATTGAAGCCGTTGACGTTGAAAAATAAATTGAATCTATTTTTGCAAGTTGTGAACATTTGCAAACTTTATGCAAGGCGTCTGTATGCAAATATTGTAGTTTTGATAATCTCCACGGGGGGGGGGGGGGGATAAATTATTGCAACCAAGTACAAATCGTTACGGACACTTGGCACATTTCGCGAGGAGGAAAAAAAGCGCGAAAAATGTCCACGCAGGAAATTGTGTTGAAAATATTTGTGTGACAAATAAAAGTAAAGTTTGCGTGCATGCCGCGTCTGATTATACATTAATTGAATAATATCACGATACAGGGAGTTCACAAAAAGTTAAAATATTTTAAGTAGTGTTATGTTAAAAAAACTGATAGCTTTTGAAATATTTATCTTTAAGGTTATTTTAGGTATAACATGAAAAAAAACACACACATAACAACTTATTATAAAACATTAGTTTTTGGGCACCCTTTTTGTAAAGTATTTAAAAAAATATATTTCATTTTAGCAAACTATTCGTGTTCCATTGTTGTCCTTTTGTATTATTAAAGAGCGGATCTACGAAATTTAAGAAACTAGATATTAATATATCTAATTATCTAGTTGTATCCTTTAATTTTTTTTGTGATGGTATGACGAAAATAGTGTGCCCAATTTTTGCAACAAGTGAATATCAAAAATTTTGATTTTTTTACAATTCCTTTAAGGTAATCAAATATTCAATTCCTTTAAGAAGAGAAATCTATAAAAGTTTTCTAATTTCTAATTGATCTATAACGACAAAAAACCTCGCACCCAAATGAGCAAACTTTTAATTAAATCATTTTATTCTTAAACCTTTATAAACGGGGATTCAAAATATTTAATCATTTGGTTTCTGTCAAAATCATTTATTTGAATAAAATATGTTAATTGTAAAATGCAACTTTGATTATTTTCATAATGTCCTTCAAAATTTTTTTATTTGTTTTGCTTTTCCAATAAATATATATATAAAATATAATATAAATAATATAAAATGTGTTATACTTCTAAAAATATGAAACGCTAGATTTAAACTTTATTTTCTAGTTTTGTTACTTTTCATTAACGTTACCGTGTATAGAGAATAATTATCATAATTCACAGGCATACTTTATAAATGCCTGAATTTAAATTATATTTGATTAAAGCCGGTTAGAAGGATAAGTGCAGTTTTAATATTTAAGAAAAATTTGTCAGACTTTCTGTCTCTGCAGAATATATAATTGCATAGATCAAAAATTCAATAAATAATTTTTTAGTTTCCCCCCTTTCTCTAGTTTAAAACAAGTTAAATGAAAAAATTTCAGCAGCCAAGGAACTACGAAACTAATTATTTGCCTCAAACTCTGCTTTTCAACCTTTTATATTCTAAACTATGAATTCTAAAAGATCAAATATGTGTAGTTTACTCAATCAGGTTACAAAGAAATGGATTAGATTTTGTGGCAAGTTTTCAGTTCCTGTACGATAATAAATATACTTACTCGCAATTGTAGAGAATGGAAATGCCGATTTTGACTGTGAAACATGTTGCGCCGTTTAGACAATACCAGGCGGCGTATGCCGGCGGACAGGCGTAGGTTTGGAACGTGATGTTGGGGCGCATAGTTGGAGACGGCGGACGGGGTTTCGGCGTAGACCGGGAGGAACAGGCATCTGAAAGAAATATTATTATTATTAAGAATTATTATCATCATCTCATTATTATTATCATTACAAGGGTAGCCGTAGTACATATGAATTTCCGAGCCGGGTCAACCTTTCCGGTCCCAGTTTGTACTGTTCATAGCTCTATGGACAGGACTAGCCGGTGCAACAAGGTTGACGCGGTCAGACTTTATGCTTCATATAGGTTGAATTTACTTTTACTAAAGAGGCAGAGGTGCGTGATTATTTAATACCTTCAGCCATAATAGATTATTCAGATCATGTTTTTCATTATTATTGTTTTTATTATTGATATTATTTGTATCATTATTAGAAAACATCATTATATCATTATGTTTTCAAAGATTATTTAGTGTGCAAGGATATCTACGAATAATATATTCATGACAGGACATTTTCAACCAACCCCGGGGTGTATCAACCGTAAATTATAATTAAGTGTGTGTATTTAAACATACACATTATATATAAAGGACAACAATAAGAAATACAAATATTTAAAATTTTTAAATTTTAGAAATTGTCCAAATCTTATGAAACGGTTCAGCGCGGCAAATATCTTAATAAAGTAAATTGAACGCTGAAATAAAGAAATGCAAAGATAAGAATTGCAAGTGCGAAAGTGTTTCCTGTAAACTAGTGTCGGTATCGTAGTACATCTTAGAAATAATTAGCACGGCATTCCATGGTTCTAAACAAAAATGGCAAATTTAACCCCTCCCCCCTTCCCCCCCCCGGGCTCTCAGTAAATCAATAAATGTTTCACGAGCGTTTTTTTAACAAAGAAAAAAATTAGACCATTTTTCCTGTTTATTGCAAATCACGCGATGCCAAAATTAAATTATTGTCCCAACTTTTTCTTTGTTTCCGGACATCCCAGCTTCCGTAAATATATCACCCTCTTNTCTATCTATCTATCTATCTATCTATCTATCTATCTATCTATCTATCTATCTATCTATCTATCTATCTATCTATCTACATATCTATCTATCTATCTATCTATCTATCTATCTATCTATCTGATTATCTCTCTGTCTATCAGTCTGTCTATCTTTCTATCTGTATACTTTTTCCATGATTTGAATAAATAGATTTATTTATCTAATTACCGTAATAGAAAATCTATCGATCGTTAAGAGTATGAATTTAATATACAATAAACATATAGGAAGGGATCAATCTTGTTATCTATTCATCAAACTGTACATCTAACTGTTTATCTGTCTAACAATCTATATATCCTTCTATCTATCTATCCATATATCCGATATATCCTCATGTCTTTGTTTTTGATCTAATACGTGCTCTCTTTTGTCCTGAAAGCGCGTAAACTATCCCTGGAAGCGCGCTAGGTATCCCTGGAAGCGAAGAGAGCTCTTTCTATGCGCGTATTGCCAGAAGTGAGCGGAAGTTGGGCGGAAAGGTCTCTGTTCTTGTTCCGGTAACTTGTCTTCAACCTTTGGTTCTACTGTTCATCAATCTATTATCAATTATCTACTCTTAAAAACATACAAATTTCATAAAAATTTATTCAATTCAACATGTATAAGAGTTTAGAAGGGGTTATACCTCCCCCTCCCCTTCCTTCACGAGCAGATGTTTAATACAAAGGGTCAGAGAGCTATGTAGTGTACAGGGCTAGCGGTCAAATTGTGCCAGCTGTTATGCAACCCCCCCCCCCACCTGTCTACCTTCTCCCA